TTTTGTATCATGATGTATATATGAAATAATTATATATAATTAGGTTTGGTTTGTAATTCTGATGGAAAATTGACAATATGGGTATAGAATTTAGAATAATACAAGGTGCTGATATCATAATGAAGATGCTTCAGTATCTGGTCATCACTCCCACCTATGTTTCAAGCCTTATCTGGCGGGGGAAATCCCCGCCAGGGTTAGGCTTGAGCCATAGGTGGGAATCATGTGCAGATTAAACATTATTTGTAGTGATATATTTAGGCAATATTGATATCCCATATCCGTTGAAATTTAATTCTGAAGAAATATGCACTATATGAAAATGATATATTGAGAAATAGAAATTGTACTGCCATTGTATTATAGTGTTATAGTATAGTGTGGTATGGTGATCAGATATAATTTTTGTTTATGATGGTATATATGTAAAATATTAATGTTTTATATCTTTTATTATGCTATTCTGAAGAAAATTATCTTGACGATATCCTGAGATATAAAGAAATTATGACCACTTATGACTATTGATCTGTCAAAAATGGCAGAGAAATCCACATATTAGGTAGATGGATAAAATCTTATCATTTCTTCAATTTTGTTACGACCACGTGTTGTTTGGATACTTTTGACGAACTTCCTTGTATTGTTGTTGTTGTCAACTTGTAAACACTTTGATTTGATTTTGTGTCTGTCAATTTCCGTTGTCTATGTCACCGTTTGACCACCTGGCACGAAGTGCCTGTGAGCTTATGGTATGTTTGGTGTCCGTTGTCTGTCCGTCAGTTTTTACTTTAAAGAACTTCTTGAAAACTGAAAGACCCAGGGTCCTGGTATTTTACCAGTGGGTACTTCGGATGAAGTATTATAAAATGTTCGCATACGAATTAACTTCGAATGACCTAATTTCAAACCCAAGGGTCAAAATGATTAAAAAACATTTAAGCAACATTTTCTCAAGAAACAGATGTTCTACAACAAAGATACTTGGGTATATATGTTTATGTAGACCAACAGTGCGAGTCCTTTTTTTGCACTGTACATGAAATATATGGTGTTTATGTCAAAGATCAACACTAAGCGTTGACCAGGGTCAAATGTTAACATTGTATCTACAAGGTAAGAATCTACTCCTCAAGTCCTGATTGACCAACGTCCTGATATTTGGCCAGTAGGTACCTTTCATAGAGTGCTCTGAAGTTTCCCCATGTAAATAACTTTGACCTATATGTAGTAAACCACATACTTTATAAATAGCACTTCATGTAATATACCGCCTAATTTATATAAAGTACCACGTGTGATATACAGAATGACTATTGTATAATACTATGAAATAAATAAATAAACAACGACTTATTGTATTTTGTACCATTCATTACAGTGAACAAGAGACGACAGTACCATGAAATGCCATCAATCCTGAACGACTTGGAAGTAACAGCGATGAAGGTTGACGTTGCAGATTATGAATATCCTTTTGAGAACTTGGTTTTCGAGGGAGGTGGCAACAAGGGTTTGGCATACTGTGGTGTCGTGCGGGTGAGTGAGAAACAGACTTTCAAACGTTTGTCGTCATCAGGTGATCAGGGAATACAGTGTGTATCGATAGGGACGATTTGTTAATGTAAAATATGAACGCTGAAATATATCGGCAGTAAATCTCATGGTAATGAAGCGAAGGGCGTTACACAGAAATTTCGTTGTGTTCCTTTCCTAGTACGACCGTAGTTGTAATATTTAACCACATGAAATGATCGTAATTTGTATGACGCAATTGTAACATTCTGGCCTGAATTCGAGAAAAAAGAAGAAGTGGGTATATGACATATGATCATTATTAGCTCACCTGGTCCGAAGGACCATGATGATCTTATTAATTATGCCATACCGCAGCGTCCGTCGTCCGTCCGCGTCTTTCGATCCATGTGCGACATGTGTGTGAAAGTAACGATTTATTTCTAAAATATCATTTTGAAGAGCGACCCAGGCGCGGGTCGCTTATTTCCCGCATATTATAGAGGGCCGGAGTTCTGACGTTAATCGACGACAGACCGATATAAAAAGTCGATAAAACGTCAGAATAATTCGGACTACTTAATTCATTGTCATGTCGGTCGGAAAGAACCACATTGTCATACCAGACAGTGACATTTTTGTATATATGTAAATCAACACCCCCTACTGATGGCATTTGTCATTATTGCCACTTATTATCTAAACTACTGGCTTGTGTCTGACTAGTATAATTGAGATAATGTTTCAAATCACCAATCATTATCTTCAATAATTAAGTCGTTGCGTCTGACGCTGAGAGAACGGTACGGAAGCACAAACACACTCTCCTTCCATGTTTTCACTCGACAAATATACCCAATAAGCTTCAAAGATCGTTTTCAATAGATTTTTTCATGAATATATCGTAACCCGATGAAAGCATATTATATGAATCTCTGTCAAACTGAAGTTTACAACCGGCACTAATTTGATATCGCTTTGGACGACACATTTCCATTTAGCTATTATGGGGTCCCACAAATTGTTTCACGTGCCGTAAAGAATTCGATGATTTACATACTGTTACACATACCCCGCTGGGCGCCTCTAAAACGACGAACGACAAGATTTCTTGTCAATGTTGATATCATTTTAACCCACCAATGTATTAGACGGTATGTTTTCATTTTGACTTTGTTTCCGAAATCAAACCCCTGTCCCACAAACTGTTTTTTAAGCAACGGCTTGTAATCGTGGCCTGTTGTTTTTTAGGAATATACAGAAATTATTGGTTAATAAAATATTTTTATCCATTTTTTTACCGACATGAACTCCGTTAATCGTATTTATGAAAAATACTGAAAACAGATGGGAAAAAAATCAACATTTCATGTTGCATTTCCCGTCAGACCAAGCAATCTGTTTTATGTAAACATACTCATTCAAATTTACGGGTGTTGCGATTTCCCCCCTAAATGTTTAGAAGCCTAGATGTTACCATTACCATACCAATTGGCGCCAATCCGAGTTCAGTCTGTCTTTGCTTTTTTATATCAGGATAAGTATAATATGCTGTTGTTGAAATGTATTTTCCAGGTCCTAGAGGAGATAGGGGCCTTCCCGAAGGTCAAACGCCTAGCTGGTGCTAGCGCTGGCGCCATGACAGCGGCTCTACTCGCCGTCGGCTACAACTCGTATGAAATAGAAGAGTTCCTGTGTCAAGACTTGTCGCACTATTTTCTAGGTAAATAACATTTTAACTCGGGGAGTTTTTATTGATATATATTTAGCTCACCTGCCCGTTGTTCTGCGTCAACGTTTTAGTCCGCCATCATCAGATCGCCTTTTCGTCCGTTACCCGTCCGTCGTTCAACAGTTCTGGTTATAACTATTTCTGAAGAAGCATTGAACGATTTTTTCTCAAATTCCATTATTTATTTTTTGTCTATAGTTGTACATTATTTATTTTAAGACTGTGCGGAAAAAAACAAGATGGCAGCCAATTATGTATATGATCTGGTATGACTATAATGTATCTCTATGTAAAATGCATATGTAAATCTCAAAAACCGGCAGAGACTCGTTTCTTTACCAGTGTTTGTGTTTCATATAGAGTAAACCATGTTGGATAGAATTATATCACGTTTCGAAGCATGTATGGAAGCGCCGCACATTCAAACGAAAGGTATTATTACAGTGTAGATACACAGGGATAGCTGACTATTGGGAGAAACTACTTTGAAGGAAGGTTCTAGAACGTCAATCTATGTTGTCTTGTTATAACGGGATATACTTGCCTCATTAATCGTCGTATTGCAGTGAGCTATTGGACAGGGACTCCCGTAAGAGTCCGTTCATTGTCTCCGATATCACGTGTTAGACAGTCTGATGGCACGACGTCCCGTGATGAGCACACAGGCATGGAAACGTGACAGTTAGCAAATTGTGATGTCATCGCACTTTTGATGCAACTTTGTTTATTCTGCATTTGAGTTTCCGCAAAGGTGGAAACAATCCCACGATACATCCTTCCACTGTTTGCTCATGTTCATGGAATATCTCTCGTTCGCCATTCTGTTTATAATGTTTCACG